CAGTAACTAGAACGGTACACAAATCAATACAATCCAATCGTAGTGTTACTTAAATGAACAGTAGACACCAGTGTGATCCCATACCGAGTAAAATTCACCCTTTGCTAGGCAGTAAAAGCATACTATGCATTTTGAATTAAATAGACATAAATCACCATGATCAGATGAACTAGATCGTGTGTGAACTAGTGATCCATCTGGCTGCGCGTTCTTTGGTAAAAGCTATTTATTAGTGTGCTTGTGCCTAACCGTCTTTCATGAACAGCGATTACCGAAAAGCATTTTTACTCATTGAAGTGCTCAAGTCTGTGAACAAGCAGAGCATCGAAGACGGAATCATCCCATTGGTTCTAGCTTGCGATACTTAATTCTGTTTAGGATTCGGGCGAATTATAACATCCTGGTCCACACTCTGTTGGTAGTCTCGCAAATTTGTTTTTATTTGCTTCCTAAGCATATAACAATGCCAGACGTTTCTTCTCTAAACCGACGGTATCCAAATAAGTTTGTGTTATTCGTTGTGAGAGTGGATATTCGAAACTTTTTATAGAGGAGTAATGCATGTGAGTAATAAGTCAAATATATCTGAATATCTCACCGCTGAACACTGGAAACAGCCGGTACACAATATATCAGTCACTCCGTTTAGATGTCCAGGTGGTATTTAACGGCGTTGGTGCGTTTAATATTTCCCTTTTAATCATTTAACCTTCAGAATCCTGGATGTCATTCTGAAAAATATAACAGAGGTCTTTGACAAACTCAGGGTAGTAAACATTGTACTTTGAAGCGCATCGCCTGTTGGGGTTTTTGCTTCGATAGTGGCTGCTCGTAAACTTCAAAAATCTGGGAACAATCTGTCGCTCATTTCGAGATGACCCACACCAGTTCTGACGGTAAAATGCTTTGTAAGAATTTGGCACGTAGTTACTTCTTCTATCATCTTTCCATTTAACTAACTGGCAGTGAAATGAGGTTTTTCCTTCCGGAAATTAGTCCTCACAGTTCTCATACTAGATGGGGTTTTGGGTTCAGTTCAGTATATACTGTGCTTCTTATCAAACTCAGATATTCCCGTTGTCAAGGTGGCTCGGTTATAAGATACGAGGCTCAGATAATATCGCTATTCCACTAGCAGCCGTACCTATTTCTTAGACCTAGTCCATCTGCAGGTCTGTATTTACAAACTGACTGCTCTTTAAAGATATCGCTGGAGTAATATATCGATCCCACATCAATACAGAGTAAGGTAGATGGCGAGATTCAACTCTGAAAGGCTCGCTTATTTGTGAAAGTTCAGATAAACGCCCGTAAGTCTAGTCAATCAATCCCCAGAAACTCAAAATCGGAAGTTGCTGGTGTCAAGTTGAATGGAAGAAAATTGGTCAGCTATTTGAATGCGCTGACCACAGGACAATCCATCACCGCTGTTTCAATGCCATCGAGGGCTTAATTTCCATGTCATCGCATTTAGAGGATACGAAGCCAACGGTATGCTCACAGTGACTCAATATTGCTCTGCTACCTTTCGAATACAGTCGCTTTCATCAAACACACATATTTACACGTTGCTAGTAATTATGTAACCACTCTGGTGGTCAATACAGAGGAGCCTACGCAATAGTAGGGTACTACAGCGTGCTCCTATAGACAACGTACCGCTGCTTTTCGGTTTGCGAATTTTCCATCACAACTGGATGCGGTTCGTTACAAAATGAGTGTTGTATCAAACACGCCGCAGACTATAAGAAAAAGTCCAGACTCCTGTGCAAGAAACCAAGTCCTCTCGTGTACCAGTGGTGCAATTAACCATTTTCGGAATGAATACAGACTCAGTTTCCGAGAGATCTGGAGGAAAATTTGTCCGTAGTAGCACTCTAAATAGCCGAAAACCACTGGCAGTTTCAACCACCCACTTCTTAAGTCAGCGTGGTACCCAAGCTTCGAGAATTTGGAACATCTCTGCATCGGAATCTTTCTGAGCCTACGACAATGGCTAGAGTCACTATCACCGATTTCATTTTGTCATATATGTTTTACGCATTTGAGATTTTTACGTCACAAACATTAGATTAGGTACTCCTAGTTGTTTCACACCACAATGCACCTGATTCGGTTGTTGTGTACACCGGATCTCCTTCACAAACCCGTTTCTCCTACCCCAGTGATGTAGTAGTAGTAGTAGGATGGCTTTTGGTTCAACAGTAGGTAACACTGCACTTGTGTACTCAGTCCCTCGGAACCAACTTCATAGGTACAGTCTAAGATTCATCTGAATTGATTGATAACCATGAACCACAGCCTAGCGACTAGGCCGCCTTGAACGTAAATAGTTACTTGCTGTTGACGAACGACCATAACACACTTTGGGGTTAAAGTGATACGAATGGATGGATCTTCTGAAAACAACCCTGTTTGTGTCGTCAATCTTTTGGGTTGCGTGACGATGTGGGTACTAAAGACAAATCGTAAAGGCGCACCATTCTACGGGCCACCACAGTACCAGTCTGTTCAGCTGGGCGTCAACACCACTGTGGAACTATCCATGCAGTCACTGTGGGGTGCTGAGTGGATTCCTGTCAGTCAACTCTTACCAACGCTATCGATCATACTGGAATAAAAGACTGCCCGACTAATCCAAGCTAGCTCAACGCAGTTTAGTAGGCTACCGGTCAAAACAGCAAGGGCCAACTGACGACCCAGCCAGTTAGTCACCTGGCACCGCCCATGCTTTCTGCCCAAGTATTACTCTTATTCTCAGTGCAACTGTTCGGTGCCATTCCGTTACTCCCACTGTCTGTCAATGACCCACTCATGGCATTCTTCTACCCTACACAGAAGTCTATCGTCCTCCCAAATGGTCGTGATTGTAGCTGCACAAACAGAACTGTCGTTCAGCGAGTTATAGGCCGTAAACCAACTTCACCTGAGTTTACCCGTGTGAGAAATATCCGTTCCTCTCTTCACATGGTAGTAAGTGGCAGAACTAGCTGGGAATCTCCTTGGAAAAGCAGTGGATCAGTTCTCACATGGCCTCCCCCTTTACATAACGAACGACAACATCTCAATGTGATGGCGAATGAACTTATTTTAAGAGTAGGGTATGATGGGATTTAGATGAAATGTCCACGGAAACTTCCTCCCATTCGCTGCACATCTTTCCTGGAATTGTCAGCAATGCGTATCTCATCTATCTCCTATGAGGTTAGAAATCGAAATCTTAGCCTTACAAATCCTTGATTACGACAGCCAAACCCAGTGGATAACTAGTTATCGCTGTGAGTAAGTAACTGGCTAGGTTAGGGCGCGTATACTTATCCTCCACCGCTATGCGCTATTCCAACCTGTTGTGAGAAGTATTGACCGCCTGAGTTGCAACTTCCCTTGCTGAGCCACTATTGCGCGGTAACATTATAATCGAGCCTTGGCAAGTACGGATTTTCAAAACGAAGTGAAAATTTATATTCGTATCAATGTTTTGAAAAATATTTACTACAACCGCACACATCCAGTCAGCCTCTGCAGACCGAAGAGGGCACTTAACGGCCATTTCATCCTTTAGCTAATCACCAACGGAACGATTTCCAGCTCTCTGTTACTCTCCTAGAAGCAGTGCCAAGATTCTTTAGAGTCTGTGCTAAGACCAACGGAGGATTACTAGGGGGTGCTATGTCTCAACACCTAGTTATTATCTAGTGAAACTCTCCCCATCCAACACTAGGTAAGTATCCCAATGAAATCCTAGCTGCCTTATGGTTTAGGCTCTAGCCCCACAAGCTGCATGTGGGATGGGCACTGCTGAGGATTCGCAAAATGATGAAAGGCACCTCTGGTGTCCTACAGGATGCGCAGTGGCTGTCAAACTGTCTATGACGAAGCCACCATGAGAATTTAGTCAAGGCTTAATATGATTTCCCTAGTAGAGAATGTGTGATATGATTAAATTTGGTATTTTCTTACAAGTATGATATTAACCAACTGGTATCTCCATGCCCGATTGCAGTGGCTAAGAGCTCAAAGCATACAGGATATCACAACAATCACAGACGTTGCCGTGGTCAGTCGGTAGGATCCCTGTACACTCTAAGTTGCAGGCCAACTGAACAGCCGCAAAGTAAAACACACAACAACAGCTAACAGGTGGTTGTGTGTTCAGCTGTTGGAATTCGGTTAGGAATCAGCAACCCAACGGTGTCCACACTACAAACTACCAACTAAATTGATTTCACTTTTATAAATATACTAGGTACACAGATGTTTAACGCAGTGTGGTCTTCTGTTTACACAAACATTTAAACTATCCTGGAAGTCTCATCGGCCAAGCTATGTATTGGGTGTTTCAATAGTTGAACCGTATAATAGGTTTAGTACTTTCATTTTATTCCTAGTTCTGATTGCTACTGATGGCTACTTGGCTGCACGTGTCAACTGCTCCATCGAACAATGAGACTTTTCGATAGTAGGTGAAGGCCTACTGAGCACTTAGGCCATCGCTTTCCATACCAAAGCTTTCAATAAATGATAGAACATAATTGACGTCTAATATGCCAAAATTGAGCCATCCGAACGATAGTTACTTTTACAACATACAACGTCTTGCTTTTCACCGTAGCGCACATAGTATCTACGGCCTGTTAGCAGTTGGATAGGGGCGGACTTATGAAAAATGTATAAGGCTGAAACTCAAACTGCTGCTAAGCCTGTTTGCAGAGGTAGATAGAGATGTCATGTTTACCTTGAAAATATGGATAAACCAAGAAGTTTAAATAAGGACGTCTGCTGAACTAAACGTCAGACGTATTAGCAATCTTAGCTACGAAATTAGTCAGACAACAAATATTGATAACTCAGCGAATATTAGTCGACCACCTTAGCAAATTATTCTTGATGCATAAACCAGCAGAGCAGTGGCTGTACTTGTATCCGTTCACAATGAGCTCCGGCTTTGTACACGATTACAAGCAAGAAACTGTAAAAATTTGGACAAGAAATACACTTACCGATATATAAAGTGACTTGAATTCCCACACTTTCCTTATACTTGCCTTGGTTCGCGTACACGTCGTGGAACAATACAGCGCCTACGGGTTAAAACAGCATTGAATATGGAATTATGTCGTGCCATTAAAGTAGTAATTGATCTTAGAGTAATGCAGAGCGAAATGATCAACATGGTACTTAGTATAAGATCTCTGGAATAATTGCACAAAAATGTTAACAAATAAAAGCGTAATCGTAGGACGATGGCTCAACCTACCAGAATACAGCAGCAATGAAACCCAGTGTAAGGCTGCTCAGAGAAGTACCCTTGACAATTTAAAGTCCGTGAACTTAATTCTTAAGCTTCGCCTCTGAAACTCAGCAGAAATGAGAGTTCAGCGACACTGTGTGAGTGGCAGTTTTGAATTATGAGGCGACTACCGTTTGTTACGTGGGATATCGCATAAGTAGAGAACGCGAATGAAGCACTGTTAACATGGTACGCTTAGTTCTTACCTTTACCACGCTATTCTAGTCAGGGATAAGTGTGCTTGGGCTGAGAAAACACCAGTGACAGGAAATATTTGACAGCAGAGTATTCACCAAAAGATCTAGGTGTTTCCAACAACATTCGTCGTTCTAGTTCGGTCCAATCTGAGCAGCTTGGCATTCGGTAGATCGTCGAGAGCATTTTATACCACATCTGTTGACCATTCATTTAATCTCGTCTATCTGTTTGATCTCCACTACTAGCACTTAGTGTGGGAATGTCCAGCACAACTTACTTGATGCGCTCAGATAAGCAGAGCACTTTTATACGGGTGCGTTCGGTCCAAGACCGTCTGCGTTAGCCCAAAGACGCCGTATTTGTAACAGACTGTGGAGTTCAAGCAATGGAGGCACGTGGTGTTCCTCTTCAGTAACCAGGCGGATGGCACTATGGGTCGCCGTAAAGGAAACCGCGTTGCCCCTTCGGTGTGGCCGCAGGCATAGTTAAAGTAAGGGAGGACACCCAACATCTTGGAAAATCTTGGAACCGAGCGCGAACTCAGGATTTCAGAAAGGTTTGAAAACGATTGCCTGGTATAGTTCATGGGCAACGTTTCGCTTTTGACACAAAAGCTTCGTCAGCCTTTTGTGTGAAAAGCGAAAGGTTGCCCACAAACTACCGACAGATTGTTTTCAAACCTTTCTGAAATCATAAGGGAGGACACCTTTTTGGACCACGTGATTCACTCACTGAGGTCGTATGCATGGTCTAGAATAGCATTTGCTCGCCTTTCATTTGATGAAGTCGGAATACAGCTGATATCAGTTTAAAGTTCCGACCAGTACGACCGAGAATTCGAATCAACTTATTCACGCTCGTTCTGTGGAAATTCCTTTCATGGGGATAATTTGCTTCGCCTTGTGCACGGTCCACCTGAGTGATTAGACATAAATCCTAGCGATGATATACACCATGCGATATGGCAAGTTGTGATTGTCAACTAGTCTGTCTATTCAAGACCACCAATGGCGCAGCCCAAACCCGCATGTTTTAGAGAATAAATCTATTTTAAATGCCCACATCTAAATATTCAGTTAAGAGCACAACGCCAAAAGGCGCGTCACCAGGAAATGTATTTCTTAGTGTGCCATTCAGGTATAGGTTACTAGCTGGCCTAACGTCGGTGCTGATTATGCAACCTGAAGTTCAAAATAATCCTCCAGGATATGACAGCGTTCAGTAACAAGTATACGAAATCTGGGCAAGGCAGCTGCGAGCATATATTCAACGAGCAGAACGCTGCTTCCGTAGTGCATCTCAACCGAGTAATTATCTGAAGAGTAGTGCTCGCAATTTCGACCACTTCGTCTCCCAGACTACCACTTCAAGGAGAACCCGATGATAGCAGGAAGCAGAGGAATGCGGTCAGCATGCTGATCAACAGATAAAGTGTCGTTCATTGGAACAAGCAATGTACCGCTGCAGTCAACCTATTTAACAGAACCTGAATTCCAGCACAAAACAAAAAGTTCTGGTGGCAGAACGCTCTCACCTTACGTATGGCTGCAGTGCGCGTTACCTGATCCACCGGAATTCAGACCGTAGACTTGTGAGTGATTGGATACGCCATGTGATGTGCAACATTCGAGAACTCAGTTGTCCTCTTTATTGGTACTATCACCTCAAACTTGCAATCCGTACATCTGATGTTTCAACCGCTGTGGACCCAATGTATACTTATAAAATGTTTGAATTCTTTCTTATATTGAACAAAGCTTGAAAGTGAACAATGTTAGAAGTTTGAAAAATTTTGAAGCCAATCTCGTTTTGTATATTTTTTGTTTCGCAAGGTTTCATTGTCCGGACCGACCCTTGGGTTAGCAGTGCAACGTTGGCGAAACACTAAGAAATATGTAGATAAGTTCAAATAGGGAAGCAATCGCTGTTCCATTATTCTCATCAGGCCATTGGTGTAATAAAAAAGCACAACGTGGTAAACTGCTGTCAGCTACGCTGAGGACAGCTAAGCCATGACTTTGAACGGAGTCAGTAAGTCAGATCGGTGCCTAGATCGATTCACTTAGAGTAGGCCTCGCAGTCGATAGTAAGCAGTTATTGTCCGACACCTAGTAAGTGCTGCTTGTCCAGGGTAGGAGAAACACTTGTACAAGGGCTCGCTGCTTGTAGAGCTCGGGATGGCTCAGCTTGATGGGAACTGCTTTAGCTATCTGCAAGAGACGACATCTGAGAGCCTGCGGATAGCGTGATGAGATAGAGTAGAAGAGCTTAAATGCATCCGAAGTTTGAATATCGTGTCCGCTTAGGATCAGCCGTTCCATGATAGCACACTTCATGTGATTGACCATGCCACTTCTTAACGAGCGTGGGCCTGCCCGTTTTGACAGACGCCTGGTTGTGTGCCCGAGGTATCTTGCATCACAGAGGCAAATAACTTGATACAAGACGTATGATTGGGACAAGACCGGGAGTCTGTCTTTGAGACGCGAGGTAACAAAAGGTGCGGTCTGAGTAAGTACATGTGGATAAGCGGCTGGGTAGGTTTTGGACACTGCGGCTGAGTCTCCTTTACAGCAAGTCCAATGCAACATCACCTTTGAATGGCACCGATAGAAACACATCCATTTTTGGTACGGTCATGGTGATTTCAAATGTTTTCAAAAAATTCTATACCTATGACTATGTTCACTTCTTTTCAGTTCGTGCTGTTCCCGGTCTCATGCTGACGCAGAACATTCAACATTGATCCCATGCGCAATAGAACCCAGAGCATATGGGCTGTGTTCGAAGCTTGATGATTCCATCATCAGTAGCAGTAGTTCAGATACTATCATGGCAGTTAAGGCTACTTCCAGCACTGCTGCTCTCAAGGTGGAGCTAACTACTACAATACCTTTCGCATTGCTAACTTCAATGAGGCGTGCCGACAAACTGGAGAATGAGACGTGAATATACTGACTTAGGCTAAATGTCCTGGTTTTCTAATTTAAGTACTTCCAGTTTGCTGACATCGTTTTGGTAGTTGGTTACCCCTACAAAATTTATAAATCATTTTCTAAGTTATGTCGTGCGCGTAGGTCAGCCTTAACTTCAGACTGCACAGGGACGAACAACTGCTGCGTAGTAGATGGGATTGCATGAATGACTATATGGCACGCCATTTGCGGTCATCAGTTATCCTGCCATTTTGATCGCGGCTTAGCGGTCAAGTGTCGGTGCTAAGGTTCTTCAACTTTCATGGGCTTCGTTAATCAGACCACCGCTCTCATTCGCTGTCTTATTGGGCCCACTAGTCCTCAGCTATCGGTGTCCAATATTCCGCGACTTATGCACGTCGAAATCCACTGCTCACTCCCTTGAAGTGCTTCGAAAATGGAGACAAGGCAAGATCACAGCCGCCGAAGCGTCAAGTATCTCCATCACCTTGTTACTATATTATGAGGGTGTACTGCTGAATAGTGTTCAGCAAGTTATGGCTCGCCTCTCTTTTCGCCAGCTGCACAGGCACGGCACACTGAATGAACATCACCCAGAGAATACCTGATTGTGAGCAGCTGGTTAAAGCGATCTTTTCCAACCACCCCCTATGTAATAAATAATAATAATAATAATAATAACAATAATGCTGTGTCAGCTGTACGCCGTAAGGGCGCTTCGCTGCCGCGCGACCACCACCTGTCGCGCGCGGGCTGAGTATACCGCAAGGGCACCCACCCCTACGCGGATTCGAACCGGTGACTTTATGGTTGCAAACCAAACGTGCAGACCACTCGGCCATCGGCCGACACACCTCTATGTATTCTCCAACTTCATCAAGAGTGGAATGTTGAATGTGCTGTTACTCGTAGACGACTTCGGTATGAACATCAACAGATAAGCTATTGGTCAGGGCCACAAGCATCTATGGTTTGGGTGGAGTGACTGTGGCGTCCATTAAAGATACCGCCGAGAGTTGAGGAATGTTGCACACTGAATGAAGCGATGACTGTACTCAACCTAAAATGACCACAGCAATTACACATAGAACTGCATGGTGCGCACCAGCTTGCGTACGTGTAATCGATTCGCCAGGGTAAGAACATGTATCGCTTTGGCTAGCCCAGTCAGAGCTCGATGCCTTTGACTAACGTTAACTCAGTTGTTCTGTTTGTATTACCCATCTCAGTACACTTTATCTTCAGAGCTCTAATGTCGCCGTCCGTTCCATTTATGAACACGACCATATCGTCCCCATCATTACACGGTATACATATATGCATGAAACCAGTCACTTGTTCGTTTTACCGAATGAACCATCAGTAGACAATCAGTTCGGTCTACGAAACGGATTACGCCACATACCTGTAAATAACTAATCTACAGTTTAAAAGAATGACGCAGCTCAGCGCGCGCTGTTCTCTCTCACACCAAAGATACTAATATATGGGAAGATGCTTCTCACGCGCTTGAGTACGTTCGATTAACTTTCGAAGCAGCTGTTGCTCGAACGAAATACAGAAAACCTGCAACCTTGTTTATGACAATAAAACAACAATTTAGAGCCGATTAAAGAAAACAGTCAGTGAACCAGCCCCATGGTTGTATCAGCAAAGGTAGTAGTAAGCCAAGGGCTTGGTACTTTAGGTACAGTCGCCTCTTCAGCTAGACCACCGCGAACTACCAAGTCACAACTGTGGCTAAGAATGTAAGATGCAAGGAACGAGCATATTTGAGTATTAGCGGATCACAACGAACGCAGTGTCTTATCAACAAAGTCCACCCTTCTCGTTTGCTCTTGTAAGGTTCATTTGCTTTTTGTCTAACCGATTTCTAACTCGACGCAGGTTACGTAACAATTGTGAACCGATTTTCATGTGCCGTAATTATTTCTGCAAGACCACATATCCAATAGTTTATCTTGTGGCTAGAATATTTCATTTCTTAAAATTAGTGTTACTCTATCACAAACCGATAGGTAAGATTAGGTAGTTGATAACACAAGCATTGTTTTTGCGTAGACATAGTACCACTATCCGCTAATAATACTGGAGGCTTCGGTTGGCTATCTTTGCTGCAAGGCTTACACAGCCATCATACGAATGACTAGGTGAGGCATGATGTATTATAGCTTACCGAAATTCTGCTTTTAAAACTTCACATTATAAATAAAAGTGGGGAGTTCTTCGATCCAATTCCTACCAGGCACTTACTATATAAGGTAATTTGGTTGTCGAAACAAAAAGAAAGGATTGTATCGGCTGCTGATGTGGGTGGAACCTTCTCTCCAATCTGTGATGCTCTCGAAGTTTAAATGAAATTGAAATGAAATGACCGTTCTAGCAAATAAACCGCCTGTAGTCAACCGAAATCAGTCGTCGCGCATTCATCGTGATTTGAACGCTTATCAGACAGCCCGAAAACTGCGACTAAGAATGACCATCTAACACTCACTTTGACTGGCTGGTCGCAATTACGAGCACAGCTTACCAAGTGGATAGAGTACAGCTTCCACTGAGTTTCACTCATCCTCAGACATTACGAGATTTACAGTGAGATGGACACACCTTGGTCTGAAAGATCACCCCGAACATTTGAAGCAGAATGCGAGGCAGCATGTAGGGCTTACTTAAAATGTAATTGTCAACAAACTGCTTCTTTTTGACTTAAGCTGCAAACTTGATTGTAACATTCACCGAACGATGCGGGATTTATGGTACCCTTCAATCCTTGCCTCCGGCTCCGTATCCCCTGGAGCGATAACAGAGACAGATGCCGATCAATAGTATACACTGAGCACGCCCGTGTAATCATACAGTCAAAATCCTTATATCAGCACACTGGTTGCGCATAGCTCAGTTCGACATAAGTGTCTCAGACAAACTTTACTCATGTAGCAGGGCGAAATTTACCTAAGGATCAAGTTATCCGGCCGGAATTATGAAGTTAATTCCCAGGACCATCCGATTCAAGAAAGGACGAGATTCTTCCACTTTCTCTGGCATTCTTCAGTATGGCTCAGCTTCCTTGTAGCAAACCTTTGTTACCAGAAGGGATTATAATAGGCTTCCTCTCCTTTTTACCCGTACAGTTACTGCTAGTAAGTGGGTAGTCAATATTTCTAATTGGTTTTGAACATATTGGCCTGTAGGTAGACAGTAAGCCTATGGTCAATAGCTAGTTCTAAGTCATTACAGTTCGGAAATGTGATTTCCCTCGGCAGATGCCATACACATTCAATCGACTAGATAAAGAGCTAAACTGTGGTCTTTACACTGCCCAGAGCCCAGCACCCCTGGTGCATGGCAAGATCGTGCTTCCATGTGATATCTTTTCATCCGGAGTAAAACATCTGATCCCACTGTAGTTCCCCGAGTTTGTAATTGAGTTTTGGTCTTACCTCACGACTAACAGCCAAGATGTTTACACGTGTTGTATCAGGCGTACAAGGCTGCGGAATGTTTCCCAGCTTTTCCAGACATCACAATTAATTGTATGCGCTTACGAAGACTTCTACACTAACCTCTTACATTGCATTTACGTGAACTGCTAAGCTGATATAAGTAAGGCTACTAGCTGCTCGTCAAACGGATAAAGGTGTTTCATGACCTAATAGCAGGAAAACGTAACTAGTGAAATCGGATCTTTAAAATCATGAGATCAAACAAGATCACATAAAGGCGAATCGCTCGCGGGTTGTGGTACTGAGATAGGCCATCTCATCAATCCACACGACCGGATATTATTTCACTGTGTCGCAATGCGTTCAACCAACTTTTACCCAACACAACACAACAACGCGATCTGTGACAGCCGTTAACTCCGGTGCTTATAGATGCTTCTATCGGCTGCCTCTACATTGTACGGCCGAGTTCCCATAAGGAAATAACTATGAGGAGACTAACATGCATGAAACAGCCCTTAGGGTACAAGGTTTTAGTAACGACTCACAGGTTCGTTTTACTAGGGATCGGCTTTGAGATTCTGTTTCATTCTAACCGCACAGTATGTATTCCAAAATTCAACAGTATATTTTACCATATAAAATTAGGTAAGAGTAGTAACAGAATGGTAACTAGCTGGTATTACTTTTGTCGTGACGGAATTCGCACGGTTATTTTCCTGGTCTCCAATGCAAAATGACAGATTTTTGAATCGACTGTAACTGACTAAACTCACCCCATAAAACAGTGTACGTAGTCATCCAGAGTGATAAATGCAGGCGCCCATTTAGCACTCCGGTGCAACCAGACCAAATCGAAATCCTTCTGTCTACACATCGGCTGCTTATGACCCACTTCGACATAAAGGCCTCAGACCCAGGCATTTTCGCCCAATAGCTGAAGCGTTGGTGCGCACTTGGCCTTGGCAGGCGGGTTAAGTGCGCCCAATACATTGGCTGACTAAACATCGATTGCGCTTAGACCGGGCCCACAAGATCGATGAGTACTGAAGTGAGCAGGCAGAGGTGTGTTGCAGTTCAAACAGACATTAACATTTGCATGGGAATAAAGCTAATGGCAGTACCTAAGATGCGATTGAGTTAAACCCTATCAGTAAACAACACGGTGGATAATTTGTTGGCTCATTTGGAGTAGCTGTTGCGTGAATGGATCACGATGGATAAGCTCAAGCTAAGTCGTAATCAATATCGAAATGAATTTCAGTGAAGCCAGACAGATGTATAGTACCTTAAACAATTGAATCTTATGGGTTATCCTCAATGAAAGGAGTTGTATATAATTCAGTTCTACTTCTCCACAATTCAGTGCCGGATAATGAATGAGCAACGTCCTTGGTACTGAGCTCAAAATTAAAAGGACTGTCAAGTACATGTGTCATTGACAGTCCTTCAACTCCTTGTATCCAAAGTTAGGTTGGTCTAGATGGAAAATGGGACTACATTTGGAAGAGACCAGTGTGTTCGTCAAGTGAGAAAAAGATGGCGCGCTCCTGTCTTATCGATTAGATCAAGGACTTGCTTTACCATTTATGGTCCTTCAGATAACCCATGACCTCAATCTCTCTGAAGCGGTACTCCTTAGGTCACGATCGCATATATGCCCTGCAGAGATTTTAACAACGCATTCGTTCGGCCACGCTTTTGTTTTGAATAGGCACTCTGCCTCGCAGTTTGCGTCCGGTAAGTTATATATTTTACCGCCCAGTACGTTCTTCGGTTGGTACTGTGGAGCTTTTCAACGTGACTGGAATCGTGGCTCAGTTCTGCGTTCCACTATGGAACCTTTCCTTGCTTAACTGGTAATGTGATAGTAATGGTCACTGGATAGAAGGCGAGAAGCGCACAATTCCACCACAAGTCGATAACGTCAAAGTAACATGTACAGCTTGAGAGTAAGACACCACATTTTGATAAATAACAGAGCACTATGGCACAATAAAGCTGACTGGTTTGCGGCCATTGCTAGGAGGTTTACTCCCGAAATTTTTACGTGTTGTTTTATGAGAATGCTAGATTATTACCCCTAAGGTTTTCCACTTGCCGATGCAAAAGTTTGCCATTCACTACTTGCGTGCACTTCCCGGGCACTAGCTTCTGGCATCCTGAAATGATGTGGACGGAACCCGACAGAAGTCCGCTGGGAGGCGCACCACTAACGTAACCAAGAAGGTCGAAACGCCAGCGTCTGGTGCTTTTCCAGACTAGCCTAAGCCTGCTGATTGGGAGTGACTATGATGAATCAGTTGAATCAAAATAACTACCCTTTGATCTACTGGATGTGCGCCCAGCCTTCTTAATGTATGGCTTTTAATCAATTTCTGCGGAAAATATATTATTACGATTTAGAATCAAACTGACTGGGCGTCAAGGATAAACCGTACATACCAACATTTGATTCAGTTTACAGATCAACAGTCAGACTTGTGCATCATCACGGCTGTTTCTACAACATTTCTAGCCCAACGCTGAGGTTGATGTTGCATTTAGCTTGCTCGTTCAATACATTAGAACCAGAGCGACTTGCAATTACGCCTGTTCCGCAATTCCCTGGATCTGCCCTAGCCCCTTGCCTTTTATTTATTCAATTCTCTTAATAATTCCCTGTTACTCTTGCGCTTTTTGGTATGCTTTTCGTTGCCCGTTGGTTGATATCCCTTGACTCACAGTATCAGAAAAGCATTTTTATAACAGATCAGATACATTGCATAGTTTTTGCATTCGACGTGCTTTGTTGTACCACCGTACATTTACTTCCAAGTTTGTGCGTTTATTTTCTTTCATATTTTATGTTTATTATTTGAGAACCTTGCCGTGACTGCGTCTGATGTGAATGTTAACAAGGTGCTTACCTCTTGAAAACCGTTGCTTCGATTATGCTGAAAGTCACTAGTTTTCTGCTACAGTAAAATAATTCGCAGAATCAAAAACAAAATTCCGCGAAACTTCTGCCTTGCCAACATAAAATTCAATGCTTTCCCTGAGTGAACTAAAACAAACAGAAATTCAAGCACGTTCCTCCGCTATAAACATGTCAATTATTATTCAAAACAGTGGAAATAGATTGAAGTCCAACAAAATGCTACGTGCTATCCTCTGGAAACTTTTGACGCTTGGCAGATACAACATTTTTGTAGGCACTAGTGCCCCGGTGAACATCTGTCGCATTTGCAACAATGCATAGATAACGACCGGCAATGTCTGCCAGTTGTAGAGTTCTTTCATGCATCCCATAACGGAAGACCAATGTGTTTTCTCATTTTTTCCACGCATTTCTTCCACCAGTCTTCGATAGGTTAGCAATTCGGCTGTCAGAACTCAGGAGCCAACAAGGTCTGACATAGATGCATGGATCGCTAGACTAGGTAGTGAGCTGGTTGGGGTCGAGCACTCTGATGGCTATCAGAAACTACCAGGTTGCCTCTGCTGTCAGCTACTCCTGGACCATTTTAGCGAACTGCGATAAGCAGAGTTACATGTCGGTTTGTATTTTGCTAGACGCATCTGAGGTCATTAAATCTGTCTGTAAATGCCGCAGCCAGTTTTCCTCAGCAGCAGTTTTCAGTGACATGGCTAAATCGCAGAGGTCGTTGCAAAGTTCCTGGATTACCGGAGACTAGGATACTACAGTTTTCTAGTGATAGACGATGTACTTGCTAATGGTGGTAATACAACTAGTAGAACATTCAAGGCTTTCTTTGTTGCTTCGTTCGTTAGATGATACACAAATTCACAGACACCAGCTGAGTCTCCAAACTCATGTACATATTGCATTATGGCTGGAGTATGATGGAAATACTTGTTGTGGTATGCGACAGCTTCCAGTGTTGCAACCCGATATAAATATCCTGGGCACATTTAGAGGATCCATGTATCTGACTAAGTCGGACTACAGGACTGAAGTCGAAAAATGCAAGGGAAGTGGGACTGGTTCTGTCGGTTATTTAGAGCTTGGAACGTTTGCTGTAAGTCATTGTTGATTGCTGTGTAAGCTGAAGGCACCTACAGAAAGTAGAGACAAATGTCGTGTGAATGGTCCGAATGTTTATAATTTCCTGAGGACCGCCGGCTGAAAAGATGGTTGTCCAGTGGCGGTCTCTAACATGATTAGGTGTCAAATCTCCACTTTGCTGATCAGATAACTGTCCAGGGAAATCCGGATCATGTGTGACCGAGCGGCTCTAAATTGTTCATGTTCTTGTGAAAAAATTGCCTTTCAAGTGACTGTGAAAGCCTGTTCTTGATCCATCCCACCCCCGAAGCCAACTTGTTGCATCTCGGTACTACTAGAGTGGGCACAATGCAAGTACCCAAGTAGTCAACTAAGTTGTGCTGCAGGCCTGTATTTGGACAACCGCACAGAGTCAGCCCATGAGGCCGAATGCGAACGCTGCTCTGGCTATGGCGGTGTTCAATACAATGAACAATAGCGATTGATCAATGTCCTTTGTGATTGGGTTAGTTAGTTTTGATCATTCCCAACATCCGGCCAGGTGCTCCAGCGAGTGATGACCGGCGCAGATGGGCCGGTTGGGTTTTCCACACCCTCCTGAATTGCATACTCCATGGAGACACGCCACTTGATTCTCGAAAGAAGAAAAGCACTTTCAATTTTTGCGATTAATCTGTCGACTTCGGTAGGAATATTCTAAGAGTCTCTCCACTCAAAGTTATGCAATGAACAACACATCTAATGTGAACTGCACCCTCACAACACTTGCGTAATGACATTTCGGTCTTGCGCCATCGGCCACGAAAGGCGTCACGAGACTGAAGTCGATTCTCATCATTTTCCAGCTGCGTAGAATGGCTCTCCTAGCTGTGACAAAGTGTATTCTGTCCAAATTGCTGACATCGATGAAGTATGCTCGCAGACTGTTCTTGCTGGACTTCAATGTCAAGCATAACAGGATGTACACTTTCACCTTCCCGTGATCAACAGTTGCTTAGTCTGTTATGACACTGACAAAAGTATCACGGAACATATCTTTCAGTATCTGTTCGTGTTTCCCGTATAGCTGGTAAATATTCAGAATAGTCCAATAGTTCAATACTGTATGATGGGATAAAGAGTATAAGTTTGCTAGACCCACAGGATGGATATGGCGAAGAAAATTAAAATCAAAATGTTCCAACGTGGAACGTAAAGTATCAGTGGTTAAACCATTGCACTTTATCAAACCGTTGTGTAGCCTTTATCACTAAGATGAAAGTCTAAGTGTCTTCCGAATGTCCTCATGTCTGGTGCGTTCACCACATGTTTTGGTAATACATTCCAGTGAGAACAGATGCTAAGTGAGTAAAAATACTGCAATTTAAGCGTGTGGGTTGCATCATTAATTTCAGGTGGTTGCATCGGATTTGTTTGTAAGGAGCTAGGGTCAACAGTGATATACATGGATGATCGGTTTCATTTAGTATCCGGTATGTGAGAGTAAGATCTCCGCGAAGCCATCGGTATTCTAATGCGAACACACCGAGTACACGAAGACGCAGTTCGTAACTTATACCAGATAGTCCACGCGTTGCCTTTGTGGCTCTTCTTTGGGGCTGTTCCAATAGGCGAATGTCTCGTTTTAACGATGGGCACCAGGCCTGAATTGCATATTCAAGGTGAGGACGAATATAGGAGTCAATCAGCATTGGTACTAGCCGTCGCTCAAAGGTGCCGAGAGCTCGCCTCAAAAGTCGCAAGTTCATGTTCGCCACACTTGCTGTTTCAGAACATTGCAGCAAATTGCCAAGACTCTCTTGCACGATTATACCTAAGTAGCGTTCACTGGTCACGTGTTGCATAACGCGT